CTTTTAAAAAAATTTCAAGGTTTGTGAGAAAATATTTGTTTTGCACATTATTTTATCTGATCTGATTAGACTAAATCTAACTATTAGAAATTAAATATACTAATAGACAAACTTTATTAGAGAAAGATCCTTAAAATAAAGGGCTATTTACAAAAATAACTCCGATAAGATTAGCACTACTTTTTCATACTTATATTTTTTAGTACCGGCACATCATATTTTGAAGACCCAACCGCCCCTCTTCTCTCTTCTCTCTCTTTTTCCTGCCGCCCCTCTTCACCTCTCTGGTTGATTTCTTTCTTGACCTCACCTCTCTGTCGTGGAGCTAAATGCGCTTAATGTTCTGGTGTTCTCTTTGTTTGGGGAAGGAAAGTGAGAAGAAGATGAAGATGAGTTTTGTTGTTGGGTTCCATTGATGGTGGTGCTGTTAAGTTCTTGTCCGTGTTCCACATGCACACGAGACAGCAGAGTTGAGGAAAATCATTAAGGAAAATAGTTAATACCACAAAATAGGCATTTTTTAGCTTGAACAAAATATGTAAATGTAAGTGTTCATATGGCTTTTGATCTGATATGGGTTTTACAGATTTTTCATTTTTAAGATTTGTTTCGTTTATGATCGATCAATTGTACTCTCTTTTTTTTTTCTTTTTTTTTTTTTTGCTCGAATATGATCAATTATACTCGTTTTGTTTTTATTTGTTTCGCTCTGATATGGATTTTTTTTTCCCTGCTCATTGGCCCTCTCCACCGCTGTAACAAGACACTTTTCTCTCATCGCCTCCAGATTTGTACCGTGTAATGGTTGCTTGTTTTATAGCCATGACTTAAAAGCTAGAGGAAGAAGGAAATACTATATGGTTAAACCATGTTTTCGTTGCTGATTTGTTGATTTCTCTTGCATGATTGTTACTTTGTTTCCTTTCACATGCTGGCTACTAGTCTTGTTATTTTTTTTCGTTTTGTTTTAATTATTATTGTTTTTATGTAAAGTACGCCATTTTAAAAAAATCAGTTAGAAATTTTGATTATTGAAATTGACAAAATTTTGTAGGAATTCTTTAGTGTTTTCTTTTTGGGTTCTCATAACTAGATATATACATATATGATAATTTTGTCTCAAGTATTTGTTCAACTTGTTTACATTTTTTAAGTTGCAGAGAATCATGTGCACGTTTATTTTCCATTTTTTTAATTATGTACCTTTTTCAGCCTATTGTCTCAAGTATTTGTTCAACTTGTTTACATTTTTTAATTTGCAGGGAAGAATTACCGCATCTATATTGTGGTGCAGTCGTATGTGGTGAACTCTAAGGGACTGGAGATTTTTTATAAGAGTTGACCTCTGGAGACGCCTATAGCCCCAAGGCAATAGTGGATTTTTGTCATGGTTATAGTGACACATGCACGTTTTTTATTTGTCAAATAAATTGAAAGTTGACCATGAATTCAAATGTATAAACGCCATGGTCATTCTTGTAACATTGTGTCATACAATATTTCTGTACAAATTTCTATGAGAAAAGGTCGAAGTGCTCTTTATTAACTAGAAAACTGTGTAAATGTAGGATAAATTAGTTAAATTGGTACACTATGGTAATTTCAGAAATGACCCTTCGGTAAATTTTGTAATGACCATAATCAATTTTTTGAATAAATACTGCTTAAGTTATTCACTAAGCATTTTTTTTAGATTTTACCGATAGTTTTTCATTAGATGTATAAACGGTAAAAAAATCCTACTACCTATAAAAACAACAACTATGATCATTTCTATAATTACCACTCGATAATTTCTGTAATAACCATAATCAATTTTTTGAATAAAAACTGACTAAGTTATTCACTAAGCAGTTTTTTTTTTAAAAAAAAATTATATTGGTTGTTTTTTCATTTGATGTATAAACGGTAAAGAAATCCTACTATCAACAAGACAATGTAGTTGAATTAGTACACTATGATAATTTCTGAAATTACCACTCGCTAACTTCTGTAACGATCGTAATTAATTTTCCAAATAAAAACTGGCAAAGTTATTCACTAAGCAACTTTTTTTTTAATATTTTACTGGTTGTTTTTCATTTGATGTATAAATAGTAAAGAAATCCTACTATCAGTAGGACATGGTAGTTGAATTGACACATTACAGTAATTTCTGAAATTACTACTCGGTAATTTCTATAATGACCATAATTAATTTTTCAAATAAAAACTGCCTAAGTTATTCACTAAGTAGCTTTTTTAAGCCACCATAGCAGCATATTTGTCTTTCATAGTTCTCTTAAAAAGGAATTCAAAAACAAAAACAAAAACAAAAAACAAAACATCAAAACATCAAACATACTCCTACCAAAAGTTCAGAGTATCAAAGTGTGAAGACAAATGCGTAACCAACATTAAAAGAGATCTTGACAAATGTCGACGATCCACGTTTCAGTGGATAAGTTAGTAACAGAGTACTCAAACTGATCCGCCAACTTAAGTTGAAAAAATTAAAAGTAAACTAATACGTCAAGAGCCACCATAGCAACATATTTGTCTTTCATAGTTCTCTTAAAAAGGAATTAAAAAAAAAATAAAAAATAAAAAATAAAACATCAAACACACTCCTACCAAAAGTTCAAAATATCAAAGTGAGAAGACAAATGCGTAACCAACATAAAAAGAGATCTTGACAAATGTCGACGATCCACATTTCAGTGGATAAGTTAGTAATAGAGTACTCAAACTGATCCACTAGCTTAGGTTGAAAAAATTAAAGGTAAACTAATACGTCAAGAGCCACCTCTCGCCTCTCTATGTGCTACCTCTACATTACAGATCTCAAGAATTCCATCAAGAATTCAACATGTATTCTCCTGACATTTCGACATCCTACAAAACAAACATAACCCATAAATCTAAAATAAGAAACCTTAAAAAAAGAATGTTTGAATTATGTATTTAAGAGAACTAATTTGAAAGTAAATTTAGCGTTAAAATCTCACTCATGAAAAAAGAAGTTTAGCATATGATGCTGATAATCACCATTATGACCACTAGTAATTATGATAGTTACTATATGAATCACAACGATAATTACCTTTGGTCATTATCGTAATGATTACCTGGTAAACAAAAATTATTATTTTGTGAAGATAACGATGCTCACAGAGCAAATGTAACTGATATTCCATTTATTATTAAAATTGAAAACAAATTTGACCAATTGGTTCCCTCAAAATCATAATCAATACTTGTTTTTAAGATTTCTTACCATATATGTGGAAAACAAGTCAAAGTGCTCTTTATTAACACTTCTAAATAAGATTGTGTCGCGCATTAGATGCAAATGATGGAGATTAAGCGCCTCTAAGAAATATCTGCAACTTGTTTATATGAGGAGAGTAGGAGAGAGAGAGCAGAGAAAGAAAGAGAGGGAGAGAAAAAAAAAATATGAGAGCTCAAATGAAGAGAGAGAAAGAGAATGAGAGAAAAAACTGTGAGTTCAAATGAATAGATGGAGGAAAAAAGAAGAGAGGGAGGAATATGAAAGAAAAATGAGGGAGTTCAAAGGAAGAGAAGCTTAAATTTGACATTGAATTTTTTAAGGGTAATTTTGATAATTTAACTTCGTGGATCTCTCAATTACTGATGTGGCAATGTTAAAAATCAAAATATGAAAAAAATAGTGTTAGTCATAAGATAATTATTGTAATAGGTGTTATTTTTATAAATAACCCTAAAATAAAGGGTCTTTACCCGTATAGTATAAAATTCAAATAGAGTAGTATCTAAGAAAAAAGGATGGGAAAAAATATTTGGCTTCGGTTTCTTAACTTCGGATGATGGCTTCGCATGATGTGGAGTAGTTTTATTTGTTCAAATAAATCAATGTGAGTCTCACTATTTAAAACTTGCAGCAATTTTTTAGTCTTCTTTGCACAAATGTGGAGTTGTTACATGTTCGGAGCCTAATAGAAAGACTTGAAAAGGATTATTTTCATAATTATTCCGTTAATTATGTACTCTATTTTAAAGTGTCTCTCAATTTTTTAAAATCATTCAAAACATCTCTTGGTGTATAGAAAAAGCTCTCAAAATGCCTCCTCTTGTCCATTTAAATCTATATGATTAACGGATTTGCTCACATGACATGCTATTAGAATACTGAAAAATATTTAGAGGCATATTGAAAATTAGTCAAAAAATTAGGAGACATTTGTGAAATGAATTCTTAAAATGTAAAAATATAACTATTAAAAATATTCATATGATTATGATATATTTCTCAGCTATAATATACAAGAATTAAATTATAAACTCTAATTACATTTAAATTTAAATGATCTGTTGAAAAATTATATATTAAAAATAAATTTAATTTAAATCAAATATTAGTAAAATATTTATTCCAAAACTTAATTATTATGAGATTCAACTTGTAAATGAGCATTTAAAAATGCTCAATATACAACAATGACAACAATGGCCGACTCCATAACGATAAACAGCGTCTTGAATGCAGTTGTTTGAGATTTATTTAGATTGTTTGAAATGGTATTGAGTTGATGCCATTTGTTAAAATTAACAATTTTAGAAAAATGGAGAATTTATCCTTTAGAGCCCATTTAGTTTATTGATTTGAGTTTTTAATTTGAGTTAAGATATAATTTTATGTTAGAACTTTTTATTATACTAAAAAAGTTAGATATAACTGTTTTTGAGAGCTTTTTATTATAATAAAAAAGTTAGATATAACTGTTTCTGAGAGCTTTTTACTGTAGTAAAACTCGAATCGGCGAAATGAACGGATACTTAAGTGTACGAGTCTGAACTTTTATCTTTTATTCTTAATAAATATCTTTTTATTAGTGTAATTATTTTAATTTAAAAAGTTATAAATTAAAAATTAAAAATTAAAATTCTAACTTATGAGTGCCAATGGAGAATATATATACGATATACGATATATACGATATACGATATACGATGCCCGCCCATAAAAAAAAAAAAATCAAAAAACCTCCACAGTTACACAAATCGCCTCTTCTTTCCCTTTTCAAAAACTCTCTCTCTCTCTCACTTACTCAACCCACTCTTTCCAACTCCCAATACTCCCAAGCGACCAACAATGGAGGACGAAGATCAGCAGAAAATTGCAGATCTGATCAAAGAGCTCGTCCTTCGTTTACTCTCCCAAAACCCCACTTCCGATTCCCAGCCCCTTAACCCCAAATCCCCTTCTTTCCACAAACACCTCCGCTATGCCCTCCGCATTCTCTCGGCCCGATTATGTCCCTCAATCGCCCCCGACTCGGCCGCCATTGCTGAGTCAATCAAGCGCCGACTCGTCACCAAAGGTAAGTCCTCTCAGGCCCTCACTTTTTCCGAGCTTTACACCAAATTCGCTTCCAAAACCGGCCCCGGAAGCGTCAACAACAAATGGGCAGTTCTCCATTTGCTCGATATCGTATCCGAGGACCGGAAGAACGCCGGGGCGCAGTTGGGTTCGCCGCTGTTGTTGCTACCCAATTTGTCGCTAAACGACGCCGAATCGGGCGACGGCGATTCGAGGGTTTTGCGCCGTGGAGGGAGTAAGGAGAAGGGTTGGAACAATGGGGTCTTGGTGGTAGCCAGTGACTCCGGGAATTTCCGCGATATCGCGTTTAGGGAGTTTGCGAATTTCGTTAAGGAAGAAAATGAGGTTTCTGAGGAGATTTTGGTGAGGGAAGTTTTATATGCTTGTCAAGGAATTGATGGGAAGTATGTGAAATTTGATGCTGGTTCCGATGGGTATGTTTTGTCGGATTCGATTAAGGTTCCGAGAGCTACGAGGACAATGGTTCGAAAACTTTGCGAATTAGGTTGGTTGTTTAGGAAGGTTAAAGGGTATATTTGGGACAGTATGGATCGGTTTCCCGCTGAGGATGTGGGGACCGTTGGACAGGCCTTTTGCGCCGCATTGCAAGATGAGCTTTCAGATTACTATAAGTTGTTGGCTGTGCTTGAGGCGCAGTCGATGAATCGAATTCCTTTGATCTCGGAGTCTGTGAATTCGGGGAATTATCTGTCTTTGAGGAGGTTGTCTGTTTGGATTGCTGAGCCAATGGTGAAGATGAGGTTGATGGCGGTTTTAGTGGATAAGTGTAAGGTTTTGAAAGGTGGGGCAATGGCGGGGGCGATTCATTTGCACGCGCAACATGGTGATCCGATGGTACAGGAGTTCATGAGGCGTTTGTTGAGGCGGGTTTGCTCTCCGCTCTTCGAAATGGTGAGGAGTTGGGTTTTGGAAGGGGAGTTGGAAGATATTTTTGCAGAGTTTTTCGTTGTCGGCCAGCCAGTGAAAGCCGAGTCTCTTTGGAGGGAAGGTTACATGCTTCATCCCGGGATGCTTCCTTCCTTTATTTCACAATCTCTTGCCCAACGCATCTTAAGGACTGGCAAGTCAATAAACTTCCTACGTGTCTGTTGCGACGATCGTGGCTGGGCTGATGCTGCCACAGAAGCTGCCGCTGCTGCTGGGACCTCGACGAGTAGAGGGGGTCTAGGATATGGCAAAACCGATGCTCTTGAATCCTTGGTTGATGAAGCAGCAAAGAGAATTGATGAGCATTTGTTGGATGTTATGTACAACCGGTATAAATTCAAAGAACATTGCCTTGCCATAAAGCGGTATTTGCTACTTGGACAAGGCGATTTTGTTCAGTACCTGATGGACATTGTTGGACCACAACTTTCTGAGCCTGCAAATACAATAAGCTCATTCCAGCTTGCCGGGTTGCTGGAAACTGCAATCCGAGCATCTAATGCTCAGTACGATGATCCTGATATACTGGATAGATTGAGGGTGAAGATGATGCCACATGGAACTGGAGATAGGGGCTGGGACGTGTTTTCATTAGAGTATGATGCAAGAGTTCCTTTAGATACTGTGTTTACGGAGTCTGTCATGGCAAAATATTTAAGAATATTTAATTTCTTGTGGAAGCTTAGACGCGTAGAGCACGCTCTTATTGGTGCTTGGAAGACTATGAAACCGAATTGTATCACTTCAAATTCGTTCACCAAGCTGCAGCAGGCAGTTAAGTTGCAGTTGGTTTCGACTTTGCGGCGCTGCCAAGTGCTTTGGGATGAGATGAACCATTTTGTCACCAACTTGCAGTATTATATCATGTTTGAGGTGTTGGAGTTCTCGTGGTCTAATTTATCGAATGAAATGGAGGTAGCCAAGGATCTTGATGATCTGCTTGCTGCTCATGAAAGGTACCTCAATTCAATTGTGGAGAAATCTCTTCTCGGAGAACGTTCGCAAACGCTTTATAAGTCTCTATTTGTCTTATTTGATCTTATATTGCGATTCCGAAGTCATGCTGATAGGTTATATGAAGGGATTCATGAGTTGCAAGCAAGGTATTTTATCTCTCTTTCTCAATATCGTTAACGTTTTGTAGCCACTTTCACCGTGTGTATTAGTTTTATTAACAAAGTACTATTTGTTGCGGCAGATCCGAATCCTCTTTACCCTCTCAAGATAAGAGTAAATCACGGAAGCAAATGAAAGATAGATCTTCAGAGCCTGGATCCTGGTTTAGTGAAGGCAGGAAGGCCCTCACTCAACGCACCAACGAATTTCTTCGGAACATGGGGCAGGATCTGGACTCAATATCAAAAGAATATTCGTCGTTACTTGAGAATTTCATTTCACAATTGCCTGAGCAGCAACATGTTGATTTGAAATTCCTCTTGTTCCGGCTTGACTTCACCGAATTCTACAGCCGGCAGCATCCCAGTAGCTAGCGGATTGAAAGGATGTCAAATTGTTGACAAGTTTGGACATGAACGCGGGAAATTCAAATCCGCAATCGCCACTGCTCGTCCGGCTCTATGATTAACCAATTTGTGTGCTGACATCAATGACCAGCTAGTTCATTTTTAATTGCTCGGCTTTAGGTACCAGAAAACAGATATGTTGTGCCCTTCTTGTTTATTTTTATCTTGTTCACATTTTTTGGGTTTCTAATTCCTTACATTTTTCTTTTCGACTTTTCCAGGCAGTGTTTGATTCTTTCTGGTGTCCTGTGTGAAAGTTCAATTGACATAAAGGTACATTTATACCTTTATATCAGGGTTTGGAGTGTCATTGTATACACGTGTGGTAACTGAGGTTCTAATGATTTGATGTTGATTTCTTGCGGCTTTGCAAGCTGTCCGTTTAGAGCTAGTATATATTGTACAATAGTTCTATATCGGATGAATTGTAAGGAAAATGTGTGGCATCTAATCTTTTTTTGCAATCTTTTGAGTTTCTTTTTCAATTCCATTGTTTGTTGTAATTTGGCAGTCGATTAAATTGTAAACTTTTTTGGCTGAAGGAAGTAATTCTGAATTGTTCTTTAGCAATCGACTATAAACCATTCTCTATTTTGGAGGCCAGGTGTTTTCGTTCGAGGACATGACTATAAACCATTCTCTATTTTGGAGGCCAAGTGTTTTCCTTTTTTTTGTTTAAGCCAGACATTAGTTTGACGGTTACCTTTTTTGTAGCACTAAAAAAATGGTAGCACTTGGTTTTTTTGTTTGGCGTAGAGGTGTAAGTTTGGACCGTTTGGCTTAAGAGAAATTTTAGGCCCGCCTAGCTTGACTCTAAAATAAAGGGGGTGAGCTCAACCCGAGGGGACGTTTAGTTGGAGGATTCAAACCATGATTTGAATCATAGTTCATGATTTACTACAGTATTTTTTCTCACAAAAAATACACGTAAATAAAAAATGATTCTAATCACATAATTCTAATCCATGAACCAAACGTCTCTTAAAAAGTTTAAGGCTGGCTCAAAATTTTATAAGGTAATTTTTTTTTAAAAAAACTTTAAAAATATAATGTTTAGGCCGGATTGACCGGAGAAAAAGTCGGTTCAGAAGCCCAAAAAATTTAAGGCTGAGTAGGGTTAGACTTAGGCCAATAGTGGCAGGCCTCTGTCCAACCCAAACTTACTGCTCTAGTTTAGTGTAATTATTACATTATTATATGGCCTCTGTCCAACCCAAACTTACTGCTCTAGTTTAGTGTAATTATTACATTATTATATGGTAATCATAATAGCTACCCATGACATGACATAAAAGAAAACAATCCACCCTAATCATAACATATTTTTTTAAAGCTAAAAAATACTTATTTTGATATTTGATTTATAACCCATCTTCTTGTTATTAACCGTTGGTGACATGGTCATGGTGAAACAAGTTTTTGTCACTTATAAAGACATGCTTTTCACTTTTTCTGTTGTATTTCAGGCTTGCTAGCCGTGAGACGATAACAAAAGTAACATTTACATGTTCCATCTCACATTTGAAAGGGAGAATAGTTTATACATACAAAACGAATTAAACCCTTTAAATATCCGAAAAGTTATAAAAGGCAACTCTATTTACATATTCGATAGTCCATGACAAAATTTTCCATCTTCCATAACCCTTTAAATTGGAAAAGAAAAACTCCCTTTTAAGGGTTTCTTTGTGCCAAGAATTTTGAGTACTTATCATGGTGACCTGAGAGTGTTTTTAGGAGCACTTATCCAAGGTGTACCAGCAACAGCAAATCTCCACAATGCATTTACATGCTCAGGCAAGGCATTTTCAATGCCGACACGTGGACCAATCAACATCTTTTCCGGCTCCGGACCATCCAAGATTTCCAAACCACCTGTTCAGAACCATTCATCTGTGTTTTATAACTGAGAAGTTTTTAGTCAGATTTCACTGCTTGAGAGGCATTTGCTTGCTAAAAACATACCAGGAGTGTAAAGGGGATGGTTGGACCACTCTGTTGAAAGTCCCAACGCTTGCCCAACCTAAATGAAGTCGTACAAACACTAATCAATTCAACGACATCTGTTGTAATGAAGCAATGGAAACAAAAATAACTTTTTGAGTAATGTCTAACGAATGTTGGCCATTTTTTTAAGGGAATATATTCCAAATCAAGGCAATACAAACACCATTCTGATCCATAAGATCGCAAAACTATGGGAAAACCATGACTGGGTTCCACCTGTAAACTCACATGAAATGCTCAAAGGGAATAAACATGTACCGAGTTTCAAAACAGGACACCAAAATAAGTACATTAATAGTGAAGTATAAACATTACACTTTAACAACTCTTCTAATTGATGTAAAAAATCGGATTAACAGAGAATCGAGAAACCCATAGCACTAATGACACTGCAAAATGGCACATGCCCACGAAAAAACAATGCCAAATGCTCATTTTTCTCTCTTATCATAAAGAGACTCTGGACAGAATTCTTTCATATCAATTATAAAGCAGAAAATTTCAGCAAAAAACAAAAAATTATAAAGCATAAATTACTAAGAACAATGTTTCACTACAATAGCTAGTCCTAAGAACTTTTAACCGTCTCAAAAGGACGTAGTAATGCACATCCCTGCATTTCTTATATCAGTCAATCTTAACATTTTTCCTCATAAACAGGCCTCATTCAGTTTGCCGATTCAAGTTCGAGCTGAAATGTAATTTTATGTGAGCTTTTAACTGCAGCAAAAAAGTTAGATGTACCTTTTTGTGAGAGCTTTTAACTGTAGCAAAATTGGAATTGAAAACTCGAATCGGCGAAATGAACGAGGCCTTAGTTTTCATGCATGTAGTTGCAGTTCAGACTGATAATTACATTTGAGACGTGACAGTTTCCCATTAGCTACTTTTGCAATGCACCTTGAAAATTACTACTCAGAGAGCCAAACACAATTTGTGTATAATAAAATGAAGTAACAATAATAAATACACTGACCTTTCCAGGTCCAGTAAGAAGAACAGGCTTATCAGTCTTCTGACCTCGACGCTGCTGAATGCTTTCCAATCCTAAAAAAAATAAAAATAAAATAAAAAACAATTCATGATGGGCATATTAATATGAACAAAGCGTGGGAGAGTAAACAAAGAGATATATAAAGTCCAGAATGAGCATATCATACCACTTCTTGTGCAGCAAAAACGACATCAAAATTTAAAAGTTACCACTAATTGGAGCACAGGAACGAATCAAAACCGCAGCCCCAACTCCTTCCTTGTCAGCAACAACGTTCAGCATTATATGAAGACCATAGCAAAGATACACATATGCATGCCCACCGGCTCCAAACTGTTACCCAAAACAGATATCACCATTAATACACACACACATATTTATATCCAGAAATCCCCGAACTTACTTTTCTCAGCCCGAGTTTTGAAACTAAAGCCTTCCGCATAAAAAACGACATCAAAATATTCCCATCAATCTTGAATGTTAAAATGTTGTGGGAAGGAATAATGAAATCTTACAACAGGGGCAGTTCTTGCAGTGATCCCAAATCTACCATGACAAGCTGAATCATTTGGCCTGTAAGCTTCAACCTGTCACACTTTCTTTTTTCATCACACATTTGCACAAAAATCATCACCAAATAGGTAACTTTCTTTTTTTTTTTGTTTTTTTTTTGGAGGAACATCAAATGGGTAACTTGACAATTGATTTTTTATACTTTCACTAGTAAGTAACACCTAACTTTTGAGCCAAAAAGAATAATAATAATACCTAGTTAATGCCTCTTTCGTAAACTAGTTCAAGTGGTCTTGGTTCAAACCATTGATTCAATGTTTTATTAAAATAATAATAATAAATCCTTAAAAATCGGTTTGCCCAGAAACTTGAACCATTTGTCTCAAACTTTCTATTTCAAAAAATAAAAAATAAAAAAATAAAACCACCACATTTCGAATCTGTTTACCAGACGGTCCCTCACTCATTTACGAACTTTCTATACGTCATGAAATCAAAATAATAATAAATAAATAAAAAACAATAACACAAAATAAACCATATCTACAATCTGACAGTTTAAAACAGTACCAATATTTTTCCTTCCTTATCTACCAAAACATTTGTTATTATTTACGTATAAAATCATCCATTTTTAAAACACTTCAATCCTCCCATGTAATCTCTATTTCTAAATTTTCTCGCAAAGCAAACAGAAAAGGAAAATAGCATGATCACCTCAGTAATCTGAAGAACGACGTCGTCTCTCCTCAGAAACTTGCCGAGCAAGCGAGGGGCGAGGTCCAGGGCGTCAATTTGGAAGAAAGAAGAGGGCAAGATCGTCATTTTGTGAGCGGATAGAACGGAGAATGGGGATGGGTTCGGTTCAGGTTTGGCCCTAACGGCGGCCGATTCGAATCGCTGACTCGGGCGAGTCTCCGCGTCGTCGATTCTGATGAGAACGGGTTTGGGTTTGGATTTGGCGGCGACTCGCTTGAATCGCCGAGTTCTTTTCATTTCGCCGTTGAGAGTTGGACCAATAAAGTCAATTCCGACGACTTAACCTATATTGGTTTCTTTTGTTTTGGCGGACATGTTGTGTTATCAAACTCAAATCACAACTTAGGGCGGTTCTGCAGCTCACTTTTTAGTTAAAAACACTAAAAAAAAAAAAAATAACTCGAGTTATAATTTTATTTAGTTTATGTTCTTTTAAATTTGAACTCGAGTTTAGAATTAAAATTTGAGTTTAAGTTTCCTCTTCAATTCGAGTTTAAAAACTCGAACTCAAATTAATAAATAGTATTTTTTATATTTTTAAAAATACTATAACTTTTTCGTTTTAATTCTGATTGAGATGATTTTTTTTATATGCGTTGACAACGAAAAGACGAATAAAACCACACTCATATACCATATTAAAAATTTTCCATTAGCATTGAGTTTTTTATTTTTATTAAAATACTATTTAAATATAAATTCAAGTTTTGACTTATTCAAACACAAACTCAAAAAGATTATTATCTCAAACCATAACTCAAATGTACACAACTAAACACAAACTCAAGTTACAATTTCAACTCAAGTTATAACTCAAACTCAATTCAAAATCTACACTCAAATCACCTAACTTGAAAAGGGCAAAAGAACAGCCCTTTAAATTTTTTACTTTTTTTATAATATTTTTTCTCATATAGTAAACTCAAATTCATAATTTTTCTCATATAGTAAACTCAAATTCATAATTTAAATTTAAGAAAAGAACATACTCTTATCAAAGAAATGTGGGGGCAAAAATAAAAGATGTAGTAAAACCCTTGTCAAAGAAAAGTATAAGGTAGTTTATACTTTTTCTTTGGACTTTTCTGATAGAGCCTCTTTACCGGTAGGTTCAATTTTTGTCAAATTTTTATCAAATTAAAAAATTATGTGAAATATGTTGTTTGTGAACAAATCTGAAGGCTTAAACTAAATACCTAAGGATTTATTTGTTTATGCATTTTAACACATTATTTTGATTATGTTAGTGTTTTTCTTTCAAAAAAAATTTAAAATTAAAATCAAGAATTACTAGTTTAAATACATAAACTAAACGAGCCCTAAATATTTGTTTAAGAAAGTATATAGGCCAACTTTTAGTTATAGAAATTAATAGGCCAAAACTTGCCAAGTTATGGACAAACTTGTCAAGTTATGATTCATAGCCAGACAAGTTATGGACAAAAACTGGGAATAACTTGTCAAGTTATGGTTCATAACCAGACAAGTTATGGACGAAAACAGTAATTTGGCCTATTTATTAACTTATGCAAACTATTGGCATATTACTTTTAATTCATCTCAAGTCTTGGCCTATTTCCCTCTTTCTCCAAAAAAAAAAATGGAAGTATAGCTTTTGACTAGGTAAAAGAGAAAAAAAAAACACACACACACACAAAAGAGAAAAGTATTTTGCACATTTATCCCTAAAGTTCTAAAGTATGGGAAAGATAGCCCACTGTAATTTTTAATGTTGCAATTTACCCTTAACTTGTAAAACTATTATAATATACCTTACTTTATCAATTTGCTTTAGAATTAAGGGAATGAGAGTTGAAAAATTAAGAGATTTGTATTACAGTTTGAAGTGAGATTTTAGTGTTTAATGTGTCCTTTCATCACTAATTTAATCTAGTCATTATTAAAATAGGGTACATTATAATTGTTTTGCAAGTTATGAGAGGTAAATTGTCAAAATTAGTCCAGAAAGCAAGTTGTTAAAACCCTAAGTTTAAGAGATAAATTTTCTAAAATAACCATAAAGTGCAAAAATATACATAGTTTCAATTTTTTTCTCGATCTCCCTAGCAATATAAATATTTTTCTCAAAATTTTCCTCCATATTACTAAATATACTGTTAAGTTCGTTATTAATACTAGATCTCAAGCATGACTACTAATAGTGTGAGTGGGGAGGTGTGACGCCCCAAAACAGGGGTTAGTGACGTGAATGCTCGTTTAGAAGTTAAACATGATTAAGAAAGTAATTAAGCATTTGGAGGCATAATAATCAAAACCAAAAGTAGAAAATTAAAGAAATTTCTAAACAAGTCCCACATTTTACTGAAATCAAATTACTAGAAAATGATGGAGACTTTCACACTTTTCTGGAAAATAATTTTTAAACTAAGCCTCTGAGATCATTCAAAGTTCACCCACAAGATATACAATATTGTACATACATGAACATGTAAATAACATTTACAGACATCAACCACAGTCGCGATATTCGAAGTTAGAGTCTAAGAATTTACAATCCTTACATTATTCCACAAGGATGATGGATACAATGTCCCCACTTGATCAGACAGTAGCAACTAATTCAGCTACTCTGCACTGCTTCTAGCGTCGCCTCGGAGGGGTTTAATATTTATAGAAATAGGGAAAAACGTGAGCAGAAGGCCTAATAGAATGAAATTTAAAATAAACTTTATAACAAGTAAATAAATGAATAAGCAAGTAAATGAAGATATTCAGTTCCTATTGGGAATGGTGTCCTAGAAGCATAAGATGTAATAAGATATTTATTATTTATTTAATAAAAGAGTTTATTCATCATTTTATGTGTATATATTTGTGAATATTTTATGAATATCAATGAAAATTTCGTGATTATTTATGTAACCTTAAACATTGTATATAAGTGTTATATATGAGAGGATAATGTTTAAGGATAATAATCAAAAAGCAATGTTCATAATGAATTTAATTAAAGTTCATAATCTTTAATTAAAATATTATTAATACATGTAATTCCCATTTAGAATGGAACGGTGTTATCCGCACTGTTAATATGATGAGATATTGAATGAATGTATTTCTTATAATGAGATTATGTGGAACAAGGACACAGACACAATATGAATTTCTAATAATTCCGTTAAGTATAGAAATTCTAATTGAGTCTACCGATGGTCATATATAGGATGGTCTTAATCCTGAGTTCTTAACAGACTCCTACTTATGGATTTGTGTCTTTTGATTTACTCGGTACGGATTCTTAGATCCTGAATCCTATTCCTTGTATTTTGGAGATATGATGAAGTAGGTAGCCGGGAATGTTATTATACGAGATGGAATCCATTCCTTCTTGAGAAAGAAGTAGATAAATAATTCTCTTTAAGGTTGATTCGGTACTTGGATCAGTAGGAGCTCTGATTCATGAATGTGTTTTATGAATCACTGTCCATTAGAAATCAATGGTACTCAAGGATAAAGATATAATTAGAGAGGTTAACGGATTTTACCTAGCTTGTCTTGATCTATATACAATGACTATATCAAATGGACACTTCACAATTTAGAAGTAATTAATGTCTATAATTTTGAGAGTGCAATTCCAAGTTTATAGTGGAGTAACTATTAGAATTAATATAATTAATTAATTAATTAAAGTGTTTAATTAATTATTAATTTTATTGGAGCTCAGGATTATAGGTCCATTAGTCCCCGCGTCGTCCTAGTAATTCTACCAGACACATAGGCCAAAATAGGAATTTTAGAGTTACGGAATTCTAAAATTAAACACTTAAAAATAATTAATTGAGAATTAATTATTATTTAAATAATGTGATTATTTAAATTGGAATTTGAACACATCTAGATTTATCCATTTAAACTTATTAGATAAGTTGTTCAATTTAGAAATTCAAATTAATTTAAGTTTGACTTAAATTGGAATTTGAATTTGAGTCAAAATTGGACTACA